AATTCGAGCTGACTCAGTAACATAGTTCTAGCTTGTTTTACTTTTGGCGACTAGTTCAAATGATGTCAAGTAATTATATGGTGCTTCCTACTTATGAAATTCTTCTAGCTGTGGTTTGAAAAGTTGTCAATCTTTACTTCTAATAGTGTCACTCAAATACACATCATGGACTAAACGCTTCTAAATATTACTACTAAAAATGTCGGTGGAGCCAATGTTTTGACAAGTGAACTTTCCTTCCTCAAGGCAATGCTGTTGCCCTGACGAGGACAAGTGAACTTGCCGAAACACTGTTTCCAGCGATGTTTTTTCTCTAAAACGTCTTATCACGTCAAGCCTCTCTGTGCTTCTGAACTTTAGTCTCGTTTGGTACTCAAGTTCTGTTAGAAAACTATGCGCGTTGTCATGACATACGTGATTGAGTCAAATACGACGTGTCCTACTCGAGATTGTTGATAATTTTCACATTTTTCTCTTTTCCGTCTATGCAATGACCTCACTAGTGACGTCGTGATAGGAATTTTCTGTTGGTGATTTATTTCGAGTAGGATGCCCAGCTACCGCCCGTGGAAAAAGCAGTGCTGCCACTGCTGAGAGCGAATACATAGGGAAGTACAGGGAGTTTGTGCCCCCTCATTATACTGCGGAAAACTAAAAGAACCTATGCATTGTGCCACCTGTCTTTCCAGCTCTTCCTCAAAAAACAAGCAGCCATGGTGGATTCACTTGGTGACTTGCAAATTAACCTAGCAGGTTATGAGCGATGTGACTCTCCTGGCTACAGCGCCAAGGATCTGACGTACAGTGTGCTTGCCATGCAGGCTGGTTGCATTTTACACACTCAGCAGGTGCAAGTTGGAGAGGTAAACTTGCAGCGCTACTGGTATACTGTTCACGTGCTAACAAGACCTCTTGTTACACTTTCATTCACAGTCACCCGACGTACCCAACAGTGTCTCAATAGAAAAGAGAGGGCTTGCTAAGAACATGACTGCTGCGAAAAATCTAGGCATCCACATACGCTCCCTGACAACAGGTACCAATTGTTCGTGCGAAATTTGCGAGCGAATCTAAGAAAAATTAATTTAATAAAAAATATATCTTTATGCGAAATCGTTAGGAATTGACTGTTGGATGCAAGGCGGGCATGGTAGTTTTATCACTCTTGTAGAAAGCACTGTGTGTGCCCATGACAGCAGGTCCAATGGACTTACTAGGCATAATTTTTTTTCCAGACTGACATCCTGGAGTCAAAGTATACTGCCGCAAGAACAAGCCAAACATGCCACACTGGTATGATCTTTGGCATGTTGGTAAAGATAAGCATGTACACTGTTTATAATATTAGTGTGGGGCATGTATAGTGATTCGGCCAAGTCTTGTAATTTACCATAGAAGGCTTATATTTACACATGAGTAACATCTTAAAAACAGGCTTGTTGACTAGTAATCATGGTAGATGCACTTGCAAGTAAGCAAGTTTACTTTTGAATGCATGGTCTAATCAAAATATTCAAGAAAACCAGGAGTAACATACAAGGTTATCCTACGATTAGTGCAACTTTTTAGAAACATGCCGAACATTTGCTGGAACATATGTATTGCATTCGTAATTGTAGTAGAATAAAATTGTACCATCTCCCGCTAAAGGGAGCCATGTGTAGATGCGAAGCACCGGGCACTAACGCTCACACTGGCGGCGACATGACGCTGGCGTGCATCAAGCGAAAGCTAATTAAAGACGTTCCTAATTGAACCTTGGACGCGCAATCCAGTGCCTACATATATGGGGTGACCAGTGAATGGTTATGCAGGACGAGCAGTCGATTTCATACTATCACATGGCCTTGCAAGGCGAGAGAGGGGTTGGGGAGGGACAGTTTTGCGGGTCTCACACACGAAGAGTGGCGACAGGCTAGGGAGAGAGTGACGTCAACTGAGGAAAGGCATGACTTACTTGGCACCACTCCAACAGCTGCGGCCAGGCGAACGCGGTGCCGATGGGGAGACAAAGTTGGACATTCTAGCCAAAGAGCTGCTTCTCATTTAAAAAATACTGGCGCCGACATAAATAACAAACTCACAGTACGAGCAATGATCCTGCATATGTGTCTCTAAAGTCTGCATCTGCTTTTTTTTTCTTTCTATGAATATGAACACAAGTGACCCATAACAACTAGCCCGCATGATCGCTTTGGCTGCTCAAACACGTTATGACAGTACAGGCAAGCACATTCCCGAATGCTCTAAGTAGAGACTCTCAGAAAACTTTTACATCTTACAGTAAGAAACAGAGCTGACACCAAAATTTCTGTCGACTTAGCTCTGTGATGCTTTCACATTAACAACAAGTCCCTGTACATATCTTCTTACAGAAAAAAAAATTGTCTTCTAATCATGAGATTTTGCCCCCAACTCCAGGCCTAAAGAAAAAGCTCCTAGCTGCCAGCCACAAGCATCGAGTTGTCTCCCCTTGTATATAAAGCATCATAAACCGTCTCTACTGGGCTGCTGCAAAGGGCTAAGGAAATGGAGAACTTGTAAGCATTATGTAAGCATGGAGGAGTGTGCTGAACCATGTTTGTGACAAACATGACGGCCACGATGGTCCATACACGAAACGCCTCCGTGACCACCTTGAGGACAGGCAATGGATGAACTCAAGTGAGGATGCAAATTTCTATTTGTGAACAACACAGCTATTCTTACTGTTTCAACATTACAATTGCAGACAAAAAGGCAAATGTTGCGACTCAGTGTCAAAGCGCTCAGTCTTTTATAACGGCAGGATGGTTCACGTCTAGTGCCTAGCTTTCATCACTAACCAGCATGAACACCACTAGTGCGCTATTCAAATGCAGAATATTTTAATACATTTTCAAAAGTGGTCTATTAGTATGTTTATTATAGCAGTTCGATTTAAAGAAAAGATGCAAAGGTAAAATGTCACAATTATTACGAACAGGTGCAACTATGCACAACCATTCAGACATGCTGCTGCAACAGTTATTATGACCTATTCATATTATACCTGCGTTGGACGAGCCCTTTAGAAAGGCCATCCAGTCAATGGCTGTTGGAACGGGACAACTCGATTGACTTGATGAAGCTGTTGCGCTGCTACACGGCAGTTCTTAACGGCCATTGAGTAATTCAGATGTTTCTTGAAAAAAATGTGGCGCTTTGGGTCTGTATTTTTGTAATCATGTCGCCTAAAGATAAATATTGTAAGTTCACCAAGAAAGTGAATTATGTTTGTTGATATTATATAAAGGATTGAATAAGTGTTTATCTGTTGTTATGAATTTATATATAGCTTATACGTTGTTGGGCAGCGAAGCCGTGGTGAGCGGTACACAGCGAGGCAGTGCACTAACGCTCCTTCACTAGGCTTTCTACTGCCTTCAATTGTGGGTTAATTTCACAAAATACCCTAAAACATTATACGGCCTTTGGACCACATAAACATATTTAACTTTGAAATATCTGTTCCAGCATCCCGTGCCTTTTATGAATTGAAGGCCATAGTGGACAACCCTCTACTACTCAGAAACATCCGCCGGCTCTCTCCCGAGGTGCAAACATTCTCATCGGAATCATTTCACAGTGTCTTAAATGACTTCGGCCCAAAATCTAATGCTTTTTCAGAGGACGGCATGCAAGCAAGGTACTCACTTTTGTCACTTTAAATCTAAGAAAAACTAACGTTGAAACCTCTTATTTGTTAGGACGTTGCTCGCTGTTCTTAACTTCAATGAGGATGTCGGACGGCAGCAAGCACTTACTCAGGAGGGAGACGAGCGATGGAAAATAAAACCCTCGAAGGCAAGGCGAGGCCACTTCAGTGTTGCCCCAGTCAAGGCGCAGCCTAGCTGTGATATGTAATACTTTCGGACTAACCAACTGTAGCTGTGTTGTTCATACGACCTTTGAGCGGCTCCTGTTTTCTACAATGATCTTCAAGTTAATTTTTCGAGTGCGTATTCAGCTTTGCTTGTGTCGCATCAGTGAAAGTGCAAGGACTATTTTGATGCCGAAGCCTGCGGCGTGAGTGGACTATTTTGACGTTTTGGAACGTTTTTTCTTCGGAGCCAGCTGTCACTTTGGCTAAGCCTAACGAGGTAAGCCCACGTCGGCGCGACGCCAGCCACGTCACCGTTCCCGGGTGCCATTTTCGCTCTTCGCAGGGCTTAGTTACAGAAAAGTGTAATATCAGGTGGTGGAGGAGGACATCACCCCCGAAGAGGTAACAGAAGACCGTGGTTGGCGGTCTGCAGGTGCCAGAAGAGCTGGCGAGCGCTCGGCAGGCGCTAATCCTAATGCTGCTACTCTCAACGAGACGAAGTCGACAACAGCCGAGGCCCCACGAGGCCGCAACAGTGGCAATCACATCAAGGCTAGGATCATTCACGCGGGCCAGATGCCCCAGCTCCCCTGGGAGGATGAGTCGGCCCAGCGAGGGCCTCAAACGGTCCAGACCGGCTGCACCATGAAGGCTGATGCAATCCTGGCGGCCAAAAGCATCTCTGCCGAAGATTTGCGGGGCGACACGCTATGCCCCAACGTGTAGCAGAATATTATGGTTGTCAGCACACGTAGAAGGGAAAATGCTAACCACTACGTCAAAGTTCTGCAGATCATCGTCATGGGCCGAACATACGAGGTTAGTGCCTACGAAGCCGCTCCTCATCCACGTGCAAGGGCTGATCCGAGGTATTCCACTCGTCGACGGCCCGAATGATATTGACAACAAAGATCGTAAATGGAAGAAATCCGCTCGCCCTGGCAGCCAAGCGCATAGACAGTACCGGTACGGTAATCGTCGCCTTCGACGGTCATAGAGTCTATACTTTGTACGCTTCGGCCCCACCCTTGTGCAATGTTCATTTTATCGCAAGAAAATAGACATTTGCTATGGTTGTGGTCGGCTCGGTCACCGTGCTGATGTGTGTCCAGCCCAGGCGACGTCGCATGTCGGGGCTGCGGGGCTTCAAATCCTGATGCAGCACACAAATGTACCCCCAAGCGCAGGCTGTGTGGTGGGCAGCACCTCACGGCTGACAAGGACTGTAGGCAAAGATTCCAGATCCCGTAAGTCGTGCGATGAAAGGGGCTGGAAAAAGCCTCGCACCACCGATCAAGGCCAGGCCACGGCACCACCATCACCCCCCATGGATGGGCAGTACTTCCAGCAGTCACGCGCTTCCGGCGGCCGTTCCAGGCGACGTTCTGGGTCCCATTCCAGGGGCCGGTCCCGGTCCAAGAGCCGTTCCCGGTCCCGAAGAGGAGCGCGGCGCTACAAGTCTGGGAGCCGCTCCAGGTCTCCATCCAGGTCTACCGGGCGTCAAGAGCAGCCTAGCGGGGTGTCAGCGAGAAGCGAGAAGGCGGGCTCTGTAACCTGGGCCGACACGGTCCGAGGAGTGCCAGCTGACGCACTGTCGGGGTCACTCCCAGAGCCACGGAGAGCGCACACAAGATTTCCCAGCTGAAACGCGAGAACGCTCCGATGAGGGAAACCATAAACAGGCTTATGTCCGAAATTGCCGAGATTAAGAACGCGAGAAACCCACCACCGCGACCCGCCGCCGCCTGTGTCGCCAATAGAATGCCCCTACTTATGGAAGTGCACAGCACTGAAGCCAGCGACAGCAGCAGTGAGGATCAAAGTGCTCCCAAGAAGACGGCCGTCACCTACAAACAGGAAGATGTAGCGATTAGAGTCAGGTCTGAGCTTCGAGACACGCTATCCGCGCTCAGTGAAAGCATCAATAAGCTCGGGGAGAATTTCGCACAACTGCAGATCACCCTGGCCGTGCAAAACGACCGAGTATCCAAGGTAGAGTCATTTCTCGAAAGCGTAGTGAAACCCGCCCTGACCTCAACCGCCGTCGTACAACCACAGCCCGGCGCTACGGGCCCTATCGTCCACGCTATTCGTAGCCAATCTTAGGGCAGCACCAGCCCACAAAAGCACCAATATGGTCAAGCCAAGTGAGATGTTTCTCATTTGGCAATGGAACTGCGGAGCCTTCCCCAGTAAAAAGACGTCCTTGCAGCAGTACAATTGATCCTCTAGCGAAAAACCCCTCATCATTCTTCTTCAAGAGACATTAACCCCAAACGTCACACTGACTGGTTACCAGCCCGTCTCGCGTTATTCTGATGGCCGGGGCGTCTGCACCTTGGTCAGTAACAAGCTCACACACATCTCTCACGGCCTCAAAATGGCCACCAGCAGCCCCGAGATGTCATGACCGAGATTCTGCAGCGCAGCTAGGACCAAAGCAGCATCTTTTTTCTCAACGTGTACAGGAGCCCTAAGGGCTGACGACAGCGCTTCAGGGCCCTGATAAAGAAGGCAGTCAACCTGGTGGGTCCCAACCCCCTGGTTGTGGCGGGCGATTTTAATGCTCCGCACCACACTTGGGGCTACCCGTACATCACCAGCAAGGGCGCGGAACTGTGGCAGAACGCGGCTGACATGGACCTAATTTAATCACAGACAAGGCCTTTCCAACTCGGTTGGGCACCTCCTCCTGCAGAGAGTCGACTCCCGACCTGACCTTCGTCAAGAATCTCCCCAATGTACTGTGGGCCAACTCGAACATCGACTTAGGTAGCGACCATTACGTCCTGGTGACGCAGTTCTTAGTGGTCCGAAAGAGGGCGCGGGAGTTTCCTTGGACAAACTGGGACCAGTTTCGCAAAGTTCGCAACGACCGACCACTACCTGCAACCAGTCCAAGCACCGAGCAGTGGATTAGCCAGCTCAGAGAGGACGTCATAAGTACCACGAAGAATATTAGTACTGACCTTTCAGTTGAAGAAATTGACAGCCGCCTTGCCCACCTGCTTGAGGCCAAACAGTCACTTCTCGCCTGCTGGAAAGGCCAGCGCCTCAATCGCAGGTTGCGCGAAAAAATCTCCGACCTAAACAAGACCATCGAGGAGAACTGCCGCGTCCTCTCCAAGCAGCTGTGAGACGAGTTGTGCAACTCGGTAGATGGCCAGATGCGTAATGGCAAGACATAGAACCTGCTCAAGCACCTGCTCAGCGAGACTAACACCAAAACTAACTAGCGGAATGTACTTGCGCTAGCCATGCACGAAGCCAAGCAGTCCTCTTCAGAAGAGGAGGTTTTGAAGCAGCTGGTGCAAAAGTACCTCCCTGTCGACTCGAACCCCGCAACAACGTACCCCGAGTACTCGGAACTGGCCAACGCTGAACTGGACGAACTGGACGCCGAGATATGCCATGAAGGGGTTTGGCAGGCATTCCACGGGCTCTACCGAAGGTCTGCCGCGGGCCCCCATGGCATAACTAATAAGATCCTGCGCAACCTGGACGACCGGTCAATTGACTACCTCACCGAGGTCATCAACGAGGCATGAAAGAGCGGCGAGGGTCCCGACCCGTTGAAGGTCGCAAGCACCGTGCTCATTCCCAAGCCGGGGAGGCCACCCAACTTGGACAACATGTGCCCCATTTCGCTCACATCTTGTGTGGGAAAGGTACCCAAGCATGTGGTACTCAATAGGTTGACTCGGTACCTGGAAGACAATGGGCTCTACCCGCACACCATGATTGGTTTTCGGGCCAAGCTTTCGACGCAAGACGCTATGAAGCTGCTCAAGCACCAAGTCGTCGAATGCAACACTCGAGACACGCGGGCCATTCTCGGCCTCGACTTACAGAAAGCCTTCGACAATGTTACTCATTTTTTCATGTTGCGGTCGATCGCTGAGCTCGGCCTTGGATTCAGATTCTACGAATATGTCAAATCGTTCTTGACCCGTAGGAGAGCCACGCTCAGAGTGGGAGACCTTGTCTCCGAGGAGATCGAGCTGGGCTCGCGCAGCACGCCACAGGGGTCTGTGATATCGCCCACCCTGTTCAACCTTGTCATGGTCGGTTGTCCAAGAGGCTCTCAAGTATCTCAAGTTGTTCAAGAGGCAGGAGGCCATAGATACCACGAAAGATTACCTCCATCCCACAGGCCTGAGGTGTTCCCCAAACAAGTCTGAGCTCCTCCTCTACCTACCCACTAGGCGAGGGCCAAAGCCCAAAAACTGGCAGCCGACCTCGGAGAGAGATACTAATCTCTACACCGGAGATGGCGGCGCAATACCCATTATCGACTGTATTCGGGTCCTCGGCATGACCGTCGAGTCCGATGGTTCCAACGGCAAGACTATACTCAAGCTCGCCGCCAAGACGGATAATGCGGTTTGGCTGGTTCAGCGGGTTGCCAACCGCCACCAAGGCCTCAAGGAAGACAACCTAATCCGCCTGGTCAATGCCTTTGTGCTCTGCCACTTTTCATATGTCGCTGCCATCTATTATTGACAGCGTGCCGAGCGTGACAAGATCAACGTCTTGCTCAGGAAGAATACCAAGGGGGCCCTCGGTATCTCGATCAGGACGCGCACCGAGCACCTGCTCCAGCTCGGAGTACACAATATGTTGGAGGAGATTGCCGAAGCGCAGAAGCGGGCCCAGCTCGCGCACCTTTCGAGCTCCCAGACCAGCAGACATATACTCCGAGAGCTCGGTCACTCTCCGGCTGAAGTGGACGAGAAGATGAGACAGTCGCCCCGTGAGATTTGCCACCTCATCACCGTGGCACCGATATCGAGGAATGTCCATCCCGAGCACAATCGTTGTAGTCGACGTGCTAGAGCTGCCACTCTTCTCAAGCAGATTCATAGTGAGAAGCACGGTGTAAGCTTTGTCGACGCGGCAGCGTACCGCGGGAGCCGCACCTTCTCCGCAGTCGTCGTCGACTCCAAACAGCAAATCACCAACTGCGCATCGGTTCACACTGACGATCTGACGATTGCCGAGCAAGTGGCCATCGCCCTTGCCATCCTGGACGGTGAAAGGGAGGTCATCTATAGTGACTCTAGGTCAGCTATTTATGTTGACGTGTTCCCCAATGACGCTTGCCCCGCATGTTGGGGTGTATCCACGCTGGAACACATGCTCTGGGAGTGCAAAACAATGTACACTAACCCCAACAGTACATCGGTCAGGTGGGAGGCGGCCCTACGCAGCTCTCTCCTGGCCGACCAACTTTGAGCCGTCCAGCAGGCCCGCGGAGCGGCTGATAGGCTTGACCTAATGGTCCTGACGTGAGAGTCGCCCGCTGCGTGCTGACGCTTGCCTTGCAGGACCACAATAAAGTTTCGCAACCAACCAACCAACCAACAAACCAACCAACCAACCAACCAACTGTAGCAGCACAATTAGTCCAAGGAACACATATAGATGGTGATTCATAAATCTGCTTGTGTGCGAATTTAAGCCAAAGAAAAAGGAAAAGAAAGATGAAAAAATACTTGCCACTTCTGGGAGGGCGTATTACAGATAAGTTGCACAACCAATTGTGATACTTTGGCAAATCTGCCATCTTCTTGTATATTTTTGCATCCATACAACATTTAACCTTAGGATTGTTACCCATCTGGCAATGCACTAATCACAGCTTACTGCTTGCTCTCTTGACTGTTTCTGGAACAGTCCCTCCTATGGGGGATTAGCATTTTCTCGCTGAAAGTCAACTTTTGGGAATCTTAACCCGCTTCGCGTTCATTTTATTATGTATTATGGCTATTTTAAAGTAACCGTAGATGCAGTGACAAGTGCGAAAACACTGATATAAAAAATCATTGTGTTTACCTTACATAGTTATGCTTGACAGCATATCATCTATGACATCTCAGCAGGGGATATAGAGTACAAAGGCAGCTCATATAAATTTTGAGGTTGATGTGTGCGATCCAGTGCAAGCGTTATGTGCTGCTCTCCACGATGCTGAAATCATCTTGCGGCACTGACACTGGTTTGTTAAAGGTTCGTGTGCTGAATAACGCCACCTGGCAAAAAAAAGCGTTCCACCTAATAACACTCACAGGTTTCCATGCACAAGAAAATTCGATACCCGGAGGTGAATAGTAAAATAAGTTAAATTATCAGGCATGTGGTCTGATGATTGTAAGGTTGGTCACTGCATATACATAGTTGTCTTTTCTTTTGTTTTCACACTGATCCCGCAATTCCACTGCAGTCCAAATAAAAGAGTGCAAATAACATTCTCTGTACCTTTCTTGGCTTCTGTATCATCTAGTATTCAATTTTTTCATATAAGGAGATTTGAAGGTGATTCCTTCTTTCTTTAGTGCCTCGAATGCAGAAGAGCTTTCAGCTAGTGTAGCTAGTATTGACAGATTCAAAAAGGGGTGCGCATCTGGGAAGGAGTGTTGGCTATTAATTGAAGAGACCCGCTTCTAACAAACTGTGGCACTCCACATGGCAAGCAACGGCATCGTTATAGTTAAAACGCGAAAACATTCTCCTAAACAAGCGTGCTATAAATATATGCTAAAAGCAGAGCCTGCAGATTATATAAGGTTGTAACCATGCCACAGCATGCGTGCTTTTATTGTTAGTGGCGGTCACTAGTAGCCCCAGAAGAATTTTTTAATTGTC